GGATCGTCCTGACACCCGGAAAGCACTTGTCAGCGTTGCAGAGATCCAGTCAAAATCCAGGATTTCCTTGTGTTCCCTGTGGCCAGCTAACCTGTGGATTATGATAGCAATCCAAATCGCTTCTATGACCCTGAATGTGCGCATGGCCTTGACGCATAGACACTCTGTTGCAACTCACAGGAGGCGGAGCGGAAAAGAGTGGAAGCAATGTTGGCTTTTGATTTGGGTTTGGTCAAAGTGAAGTGTTCAAACTGGTACATCTCCGAATGGCACAATTGAGCAAGCACAGCCTTGCACATTCGGGAGCATGCGAACGAGTGGTGTGAGTGCTTCATGTTCGCCCATTAATTGCAGCTCCAGGTGGGTGACACCGTAGTGATCCCACGCTACGGCGGCACTGAGGCGCGAGTCACGAGAGCATAGGCCGTGTTTTCTCATGGGCTTGCTATACCTACAATGCGCATCTGCATATAGTGGCTCGCTATGCCAGCCGCCGGCACATCCAAGCAAGAGGAGTGAAAACCGTGTGCTATGAGTGGCAGCTATTTTTTGATTTTAAGCGTTTCCCTCTCCTCAGTTGCTCATGGAAAGTTTTTGTTTGGTGCGGAAGGGCAAAGGGTTCCCACCACAATCAGGAGTGCTTTGGCAGTTCAACGGTGTACAGGACAACCATTTGCTACAGCAGTGCTCGTTTCATTCCAATCTTCCCTACAAGCAACGCAGATCAAGCTGGGCGATGAGGAGTACAACATCTACCGTGATGAGGTGTGGCCGAGCAAGTCAAGGCCAGCTGCCAGCTTGCGTGCGCAGGACATCGTTGGCATCCTCAAGGAGGAGTGAGGCGGACAGTGTGGTCAGGCCCCGCTTGGTTGACGCTGGAGCCACCTGGCACCCCGTTCTCATCTCGATTCTCAGATGCAAATCTGGGCGAACTGATGTCAAATTTGGGCGAACTGATGTCAAATTCTGAGAAACATGATGTGGACCTGTAGCTTGTGACGCGCTGTCACAAAGACCCGCCATTTTGCGAGTTAGCTGCTTTGGCTGAGATGGTCCAGCAGCGTGTCGGCTGTTGATGCCCATGCGCAACAGATTGCAAGTCGGAACCAGATTGCAAGTGGGCACAGGTTAGAAAATCCAGATCAATCACTCCTGTGTGGTACCATTTGAACCATTCAGCAGGAGACTATATATTGACTTGTAACACTTGGGAGTCTCTGTCAGTTCACTCCTGTTGATTTATTCCGGTTCCAGACATTTGGGCTGGATGCAGGCCATTGCTCGATAAACCTGGCATTTTGCACTCTTGTGCTGCGGAAAAGTCGTCAATCGTCCTGGGAGCTTCTTGGCTTGTGGCTAACTCAGACTTTTTGTGGTGCCCGCCCAATAGCACTGACATTGGCCGAGGTTCTTTGGGGGCTCGCTGGCAAATTGTCCAGTTGCGGATTGGGGGCAAATCACCTCTGGAATGCTGTCTAGGGATAAATCGCCCTTCTCCGATTTACCATGACAATTGCTTTGCCCAATAAAGAGAGCTTGCGCGAAATGTACGCATGCCCTGGAAGTATGCAGCAAGTCGTTTGCTGAAAGCTGATTCTGGATGGAGCTCGAGCAATTCGCTTTGGACACTCGGGTCGCCATGTTTTGTTGGGGGAGAAGGAGCCGCCGACGGCCTTCAAAACCCCGCCGTTTCGCGCCGCTTTTCCCGCGACGGGGAGAACCGCGGGTGTGGGCCTGGACAGCCAGGCCGGGAGCCGCGTGACTGGGAGATTGGTTCAAGGTGTAGTCTTCCTCAGCCAGCGCTCATGACACGTTTCAATGATTCTCCATGCTTTGCCTTTTTTCATCGTTCACATGCCGAAGCACGACTTGGGCTGTTTTGGCTGGGAGTTGAAGCATCGTGGAAGAATGATTCGTGACAGGAGTTCTGCGATGGAACACCCAAAGCGCAGGATATCTTTGGAAGAACCATTTGTCCTACACATTGCTCTTGTGGCCAGATCCAGGCGTGGAAGCCTTTGCGCCGGCGATGGCGCATGTTCGGGTGCGCCGGGGGAAGAGACTTGTGGCTGAAAGGGCGCCAGGTAGGGCGGCACCTGGTGGCGCCCCCCGTGCCTTCTGGGAACAAAAACATCCGAAACAGCAGCTACACCCAGCGTGTCATAGTGTCAGGTTCAGTCGACAATTTGTTCAGGGTGTTCTTTTTCAGCAACTGTGCGGACAGTGAGTCACAGCTGCCGGGGAAATGCTTTGGGGGCATGGGTTCTGAAAAGGGGAGTACGATTGCTGTAACGTTGCCCACAGGAATGATTCACTGGCAATGCAGAAACGATACGGAGCCATCTAAGCCGATAAACCTCTACTGGACAGCACCTTCCAGATGATTTTATGTTTGTTGCCGCTTCCCCGATTCCTTTGGCTTTCGTGTGGCTTGAGATTGAGGGCGGGTTCGACAGTCCAATGTTGAGATTGACTTGTGTGTTGCAATGATCGCTGCTACATGTTTGGCAATTTCAAAGTGTCATGCTTAATAGTTGGAAGGTTGTTTGACGGAATCCTCAGAGGCTTTGCCCGGAATGTTTTTGAGGCAAAGCAAGCCATTACGCCTCGACAAGGCTCTTCAACAAATATTCCACGTGGGAGTGTTGTAGAGTTTTGTGATTGGCGTGGCAGCTTGCCGTCAAATGACTTGGTGGCTTGCTGCTTGCTGCTTTGCCAGTGCCAAGGGTTGGGAGTCAGTTTGCGAGTTTGCTGGTTATCAGCTTGGTATTGTGACAAGGTGCAAGCATCAGCCCTCGCCTGGTCTTGGTCAGGCGACCAGCTTCTACCGGTGCCCCTCAAATGAGGCTGGCTACAAGCGGTGCTCGTTTCTCTTTGGGGTGGGCCTTAGTCGGATGTTGGATGTCCCCGGACGGATGGCGAAAACTCATTAGATGTCTTTTCTGCGTGAAATGTGGCTGCGAAGCAACACTCAGGCAAGATGCGTGAAATTTCGTTGGAGGTGCCCCTGCTCCCCGAACTTCGAACGCGTCATTTCCCCGAGATCGAGATTCGAAATCGGGGTGTGCAAATTGGTTCGCCCTGGTTGCCTTCAGCCGCAGCAACATCATATTTGTTTTTAGGCTCGAAGAACCTGGCCACTGAATGGGCACTGTCAGTTTGTTGTCGGGTTTGTTGCTGGTAGCACTCAAAGGCGTTCAAAGGCGTCGTACATCATGGAAAGCAAGCACAGTTCTGTCATTCGCACGTGGTCACGGAAGTGAACCTCGCGCCACATCGTGAGCCGCTATTTGTTGCAGTTTTGAAAGAGTGCCGTTGTTGGAGTTGTTGCAAACACTGCGAAGATCTTTCCAGACCGAGCTGCTTCAGGAAGAGGCTCGTTTTAATCTTGAAGATTCAAACTATATGTGCAAAGGTCCACGGACTGAATGGCTGCAAACAACCCGCCAACAACATGCAATCACGCAAGCAGTCCATCAGCCGACTACGGCGCAAGCGCGTCCAGTTCCATATCATGGATGTTTCAGATTGTAAAAGCAGGAAGATGAGGGTGGAGTACGCATGGCAGGGATGTTTCTTTCTTTGTGCCTCCGGCTCGCTGGCATGGCTGGATCCGAAGTGGCGGAGTCCGCCACGTTGAAATCGTGAGACATAGCAGGAGACATATTTGCTTGCCGTGCTTCTACAGCACGCACATATCCCAACATGCTAACATCATGCAGATTTGGCAGGTCATGCTGTCAGCTCGGCGCCGGCCAGGCCAGGTGCTTTTTTTTGCCCAATCAGAAGTTGGAGCCCGTGCCCTTGCTTGTGGTCAAGTGGACAACCTGGTTCATGTTGTGACACTCACAGCAAATGTAGACGGCACCTGTCCAACTGACATCACTGAGCCGGCGAACGCAGGCAGCCAGCTTCTTATTTCAGGAATCGTCTTATGTTATTGGCAGGTGGCCTTGCATGGAGGAGCGCTTATTGGTAAAGGTGCTCCTAGTCCTTCCAAGGGAGGCCCTTGCACGTGTTCGATGGTGCCAAGGCAAACCTCCGATGTGTTCCAGTTCTGCAAATGTAACAGGGTAAAGCCTGACACCGTCAACCCCGGCAACTGCAGTGGGCTTGTGCTTGGGCATGTCGCAGAGCGAGGCATGCAGAGCCACGAGTGGAAATGCGGACGCATTTGTTGAGGCCGCCCAACTGGGCCGTGACCTGTCAAAGGGAAGGCTACCGTCCCGCTTTGACAAAAGAAACGGCTCGGGCTCATTCCAGGTCCGGCGCCCGGGTCGCCTGTGGCCCAGCCTGATTACAGGACCTGCCAGGGACACCACAATGATTGTGCGTTTGTGCTTGTGTTTGTGCTTGCTTGCTTGATTGGCTTTGTTTGTTTGTTTGTTTGTTTGTTTCTTTTTTTCGTCGTTCCTTGTTTCTTTGCTTGTCGGTTTGTTGCTTGCTTGCTTGATTGTGTCTCTGGTTGTTTGGAACGGACCACGAAAAAATGATCTTGAAGCGTTTGGCATGCACGAGACCGTGGAAGGTGGCCGGTCAATCCAGGCCCAATGCTACCAACCTGTGCAGCTAGCTTGACACTTGTTTTGTTCAGGAATCACAAGAATCGGAGGTGCAGGCTGCTTTTTGCAACTGAGAGGCAGTTGCCGTCCCGATTAGGTGTTTTCCTGACTGGTGAATAAGCCAATCGGACTTTTGTAGGCAGCTTGCCGGACTGAGATGCAACTGGCAAACTGGAAAGCTTTGTTCTGAGCAAGCAAGCATGACCATTGGTGGTCCATGCCTCGAGACTGTGTAGTGCTCATGAGAAGCACAAGCTGGACCAATTGAAACCACCGCAACCTCACGAGCTCCAAGACTTAGCTTTGCTTCAAGCCATGACATGTTCTGTCTGTGACAAGCCAAACAGCCACAGGCATGTAGCCACTCTACGCTTCGCAGCCAAATCTAGCATCGCGCCTTGCCAGTGACATCTTCCATCGGCCGCGCGATGTTACGCCATGCGGGCTGGCAGTCTGCTGGCCTGGTGCACAGTCTACTTGCAGGTTGGCGAAAGGGCTTCTTTTGACAGCAAATCCAGTTAATCTTGTCATGCGAAGAGCAATTGCAACACCATGTCAATAAGGATAGAAATCAACGACTATGCGTGTTGCTAGTGACCAGGACATCCCACGCATGTCCCTAGATTCAGGGATAGCGAAGCGTTTTAAGTTTAGAGACAGTTGCTTGCAGACCGGTGAACAGTCCACCTTGTGCCCCCCAATCAAGAAGGGTGGCATTTTGCCACTCACACATTCGGAGTCTCACAATCTCACCTTTGGCCGTTGATGCTGGCATGGAACCCTTTTGAGTTTCTTCGTGTGGATATTTTTGGGGAGGGAGTCTTAGGATTTGAGACCTTCAGCTCAGCCTCTTGGCACTAGGTCCTGGCACTGCCCGTGTCCTTGGGGCAGCTCTTCAAATCCTCGAGGACCGTCTTCCCCGCTTCAGATCGGTGTGCATCGTGCCACCACTTTGATCAAAGGTGCAATCGCTGGCTTGACGGGTGTCCCACTGCGTTACGGCGTGAGTGAGAGAGAGAGAGAGCAGTGCCCTCTGATGTTTGAACGCCATTCTGCAGGATACAGTCAAACTCCTAAAGTAGCAGTTACTCTGGAATATACGGCCAGACCATCGTCAGCCCTTTCCAGGAACGTGTACGAGTTGCTTAGCGGCATTGGCGCAGGGAAGGAAGGATATGACTGCGAAACAAGCCGTTTTTCATGCATATATATATATATATAAGCTTCATCTCCCCGGCCAGTGGCGTGTCATGGCGTGGGTCCTGCGGGGCCCGAGTATCCTCTCCTGCCGACAGGCAATCATCGCGCGCACGCAAAAGCTGGATATCTTGCAGCTTAAACCCAGCGAAGGCCGTCTTTTCATCAACCCTCAAACCAGCGATCATCTGAATCATGGAACCCTTGGTCGAATCAATAGGGAAGGGTGACTCACGCGCCAGGGGCGTCTAGCACACAGTTGAACATTCTCGAGGCAAGTGGCAGAGCATGCTGCAAACGACTTCCAACTTTGCTTCCCTGGGCATGACATGTGCTTCTGACTCTGTAAGGAAATAGTTTGACACGCTCGCTTGCTCAATCAGCCATTCGGCAGCTCACATGTCGCTTTGCTTCTCTCGGAAGGAACCTTCCCGAATCGCCGAGGCTAGATGCTCAGAGGGTGGAAGCGGAGGTGGCAGAGTCCAGGCGGGGGAACTCAAGACACGAGCAGCCACTTTTTCACAGCAAGAACACACTGACCTAGTGCCCAAAGCCACAAATTAGGCGTCGGACGTTGAGCAATTCTTCGCCCAGGCCTCTCTCTCCTCCATGTCCACCAAACACAACAGAGCAGAGTTTCCAGGAAGTCAAGTTTGCATGGTGGGTATCCACAGATGGACACTGGCTGGCGACAGGGAGCGCGAACATGTTTTTGTTGGCGCAAGTGTTTGCTTTGGAACCGGTGTTTTATTTTTTTTACTAGCCCTGGCTCGGGGCTCAGCCCCGGCCAGGGGACTGATTGGTTGGTTGGTTGGTTGGTTGGGTGGGCTGCCGCATCCGCATCCCGGTCACTTGATGTCAGGGCTGCGTATTGGCCAGAGTTGCTCGCCCAGAGAATACCGCCTGTTGCCCCCAACCTGAGAGCAGAGCAAAGGGTTCCCAGCCAACCTCTTTAGAGCCATATGAAGGAGGCCTGGCGCTGAGCCGGGGCTAGTCAAAGGAAGTTTAGAAGGAACTTCCGTGTTACGGCAACTAAGTGAAAGCTAGCTCTCTCTGAGACAGATGAAGAGAAGGAACAAGCACGCAAAAAAATATGCGCGCGCGTGTGGTGGGAGTAAGGAATCTGCAAAAAGCGTGGCCCCGTGCGTGAATTGGTGTCTCCGGAGAGCTGGAAGCTAGCCTGTTCGCGGTGCCTGGTCGAAGCGCGTTCGGAGCGCGTTCGGAGCGGGCTCGGAGCGGGCTCGGAGCGGGCTCGGAGCGCGGGCCCATTGGCACGGCAACGCGGAGGCTTCGCAAGGGCTGAATTGCGTGGCAGGCGCAGCGCTTTCGCAAGGTGAGGTGCAGATTTCGTGGCAGCGGCGGCACTTGCGCAAGGTCAAGTTTTCCCAAGGTCGGAATTCCGTGGCAGGCGCAGCACTTTCGAAAGGTCAGGTACAGATTTCGTGGCAGGCACAGCACTTTCGAAAGGTCAGGTACATATTTCGTGGCAGGCGTAGCACTTTCGCAAGGTCAGGTACAGATTTCGTGGCAGGCACAGCACTTTCGCAAGGTCAAGTACAGAATTCGTGGCAGGTGCAGCGAAGTCAACTTTCGCAGCCGGGGCTCGAAAATCGCAGCTTTTAAGCACGAAAGTAGTACGCGAAGTCCACTTTCGCAGCTGGGGCTTGAACATCGCAACTTTTAGTACGAAAGTAGTACGCGAAGTCACACTTTCGCAGCCGGGGCTCGAAAATCGCAGCTTTTAAGTACGAAAGTAGTACGCGAAGTCCACTTTCGCAGCTGGGGCTTGAACATCGCAACTTTTAAGTACGAAAGTAGTACGCGAAGTCCACTTTCGCAGCTGGGCTTGAACATCGCAACTTTTAAGTACGAAAGTGGTACGTACAGTCCACTTGCGAACATTGCAACTTTTCAGTACGAGAGTTTCGGAAGTCAACTTTCGCAGCTCGGTCTTCAAAATCGCAAATTTTTAGTACGGAAGTAGTACGTGAAGTCCATTTCCGCAGCTGCTGGAAAATCATGACTTTTAAATACGAAAGTAATACGTGAAGTCCAATCGCAACTTTTAAGCACAAAAGTAGTACGCGAAGTCAACTTTCGGGGCTTGAAAATCGCAGCTTTTAAGTGCAGATATAGATGATAGACAGATAGAGAGATAGCTAGAGACATAGATAGACAGAGAGCTAGAGAGAGAGATACATAGACAGATAGAGAGAGAGAGAGAGATAGATAGATAGAGACAAAGAGCGAGATAGATAGATAGATAGATAGACAGAGATAGAGATAGAAAGAAAGATAAATAGATAGATAGATAGATAGCGAGATAGACAGAGAGATAACTAGATATATAGATAAACAAACAAATGGATAGATAGACAAATAGATAGATAGAGAGAGAGAAAGAAAGATAAATAAATAGATAGAAAGAGAGATAGAGAGATAGATAGATAGATAGATAGATAAGTAGATGGATAGAGAAATAGATAGATAGATAGATAGAGAGGTACATAGATAGATAGGTAGAGCGAGAGAGATATATAGAGAGATAGAAAGGAAGGTAGATAGAGAGATACAGAGATGGACAAATACACAAGAGATAGAGAGATAGACAGATAGATAGAGAGATAGATAGATACATAGAGAGATAGAGAGATAGACAGATAGAGAGACAGATAGATAGATAGATAGATAGATAGATAGATAGATAGATAGATAGATGCGCGGGAGATAGATGGAGAGATAGATAGATAGAAAGAGATAGAGAGAGAAAGAAACAGAGAGATAGATAGAAAGAAAGAGAGATAGAGAGATAGATAGATAGAAAGAAAGAGAGATAGAGAGATAGATAGAGCGATAAACAGATAGATAGATACACAAACAGAAGATAGATAGACAGATAGATAGATAGAAAGATAAAGAAATAGATAGATAAATACATAGAGAGATAGAGAGATAGAGGGATAGATAGATAGGTAGATGGATAGAGAAATAGAGAAATAGATAGATAGATAGATAGATAGATAGATAGATAGATAGATAGAGAGAGAGAGAGAGAGAGAGAGATAGAGGGATAGAGAGATAGATAGATTCAAAGAAAGAGAGATAGAGAGATAGGTAGATATATAGATAGAGAGATAGAGAGATAGAGAGATAGATAGATAGATAGAGAAGATAGATAGAGAGATAGACAGATAGATAAGCAGGTAGATAGCTAACACGAGAGATAGATAGATAGGTATTTAGGTAGATAGATAGGTAGAGAAAGAAAGAAAGAAATATAGATAGATAGATAGGCAGATAGATAGACAGAGAAGAGACAAACGCAAGAACAGCACAAAGACAAGCAAACGAAAGAAAGAAAGAAAAGACAGAGATAAAGAAGGAAAGAAGGGAGGAAGGAAGGAAAGAAGGCAAGAAAGGAAGAATGACGGAGAAAAAAGAAACAATGAAAAGGAAGAAGATCAAGAAAAGAAAGAGAAAGAGAACTATAGTGTTTATATTTTTGAAACTTCCGCCCACCGGCTTCGCCGGCTCTACTGGTAAAAAGCCGGGGCTAGTAAGAAAAAACACCTCAACCTGTTTGCTTGTTCAGATGTGACCTTCCATGATCCAAGCGCCTTTCCTTTTTCCTTCAGGGACGCTGGCGGATATGTACATAGAGTGTGTCCTATAGCACCGAGCATGAGACTGCGCCATGCATGCCCTCGTGCCTTGGCTCGGTAGCTGGAAAGTGGAAAGTGTCAGCATAAATCTGAGGAACACCATGAACTTGTCGGCCACAACTTAAGCCAGCACCCGCCAGCACCTTCTCATGGAACATCCTCAGTAGGCGGCAACAGGGTCATGGCTTAGACACATTTTTCAAGTTTGTTGCATCGGAAGGTGAGGAAAAGAGACATCCAGGGTTCTGCAGGTATCGTTTGGGTGCGGATTTTCTAATACCCCCGACAGGAGTCCCTGGGTGATGATGTACTATGCGGACTGGTGCCCGCACTGCCATCATTATGCTCCGATCTTCGAGAGGAGTGCGTCTCGGGCTTGAGAGGTCCCCTGGTGGCTGTAAAGACAGAGTGCGTATTGAGCTACCTTGGTGTGTTCTTTATGGTTGCACGTGAGATTTGGGATCAGATTGTTTCATGCCGTCACAGTTTGACTTGGTCAAGGTTGCAGAATGCATGCTCACGGTGTCATGGCAGCGCAAGGTAAATGCCTACCCGTCCCCCATTGAGTCTAGAACTGCTCTGCATTCACTAAGACGTTCATACTCAGGGCTATGCACATGTAGCACATGTAGCACATGTAGCACATGTAGACATGTAGCACATGCAGGCAGACTCAAAGTTTACGTAGTGGATGGTAGAATGTTAGAAGCTCTTGGGCCACCATCCAACACTTCACTTTGATAGTTCATGCATGCGATCGCTCCAGCTCCAGCGGTGCCGCACAGAAAGGAGACTGTTCCGGGATTCCGGGCACTGCGAATTTCAGAAAATGGACGTAACATGAGACAAAGGCAAAAACAAATCTGACAACACGAACGCAACATTCAGAAAACACAGAAATCAGAAACCACATGTGACAATGCAGAAAACACGGACGCGAAACTCAGAAAACAGACGCGGGACTGGTCGATATGGCCAGGATGATCGGGAATCGCCTCGGCCGAATTTCGCGTCACCCGGGCTGTTGCCCCATGCGTCACCCACATGCAAAGCAAACGACAGGTCAGCAATGTTGACACACACACACACGTACACACACACACAGAAAGACTCATTTCCCGTCAGTATATTTACCAAGCAACCTGTTTGCGTTGGTCGAAGGGTTTTGGTTTTGAGAGTTTTTACTTTTTTGATTCAAGGACCAAAGCGAACGGCGAATGAAGCCTAGCATGGTTTGCCAAGAACGCACACACACACACACACAATGCTGGGCTTTGGAATGGGCTGTGCGTGTATCAGATTGTTTGCGTGATGACGTTGGCCATATCCGAGAACGGCATGCAGAATGCGTCCATGTCCGAGCCCAACATGCAAACTAGAATGATTTGGGGCGAGAGCCACTAGCCCTGATGTGTGGCATTGAAGTCAGGGGCACAGAAGTTAGTGGCATTGTACTTATGCTAGCTGCAGAAGTCAGTAGCATTGAAACATGCTTTTGTTGCCGTGAAGGGAGCCTGCTGTACTCTAGATTGCTGGTGGCGCAGGATTGCAGGACAGATCTCCCCGTTGCATCAGGGCGCTGCAGCTGCCTCAGGGACTTGCAAGCACCTTTGTGCGTGACACAAGAAATTGGATCACATTGGGTGAGCTGAACCCCAGACCCTTGGTGCCCTTGGTGCCCAGCCAGGTGAGCTTCGGTGCGGTGTCTTGCCTGCAAGCTTCACTGCATATCTGAAGCATTGCAGTGCAGGAGCCAAGCTGATTTTTTGTTTTTGCGATGTCTTGTTGGTCTTGTATTGCTCGGAGTTTCACTGGACTGGATGCTGACTCCAAGAAGCTTGATTAGCGGAATATGGCACGCGTGGAGCATAGAATCGCAGCTAGGGAGTGTTACTTTACTTACCCTTGTGCGCCCTAGGATGTCTGAATCAATTGGTTTTCCTCATGCACACGTGACACTGCTTTGCCAGCTGCTTCCTTGGCCTGCTCTTACAACAAGCTTTGAAACACCAAGCGGTTGCACTACTTTCCTGTTCCAAATCTGTAAAGGTTTTCACAGAGACCCTATTTGTGAGCACCGTTTCAACATAAACACAAAAACACAACCGTGTTTGGTGTTTGTTACCATGTCCGCAGGTGAACTGCCCAGACTTCACGGCCTTTTGCACGAAGATCCAAATCCAGGGCTACCCCACGGTTCGGACCTATCACTTCACAGGCGCGCAAAGAGGAAGAAATCTCTGCGCTGAAGCCGCTAGAGATCTGAAGTTGCTCAGCTTGCTGTGTATGAAACGTGACATATGTTTGTGGCTGTTACGAAGAGCCAAAGTTCAGTGCACATCTCACTCAGATGATATATACTTGCGAGGGCTTCTTTGCTTTGCATTCAGCGACCAGTAGTGCTCAGGCTGAAGTCGAACCTTGCTCCGCCATCAATGTATCAACCAGGCAAGCAATGCAAATTGTACCTAATGCGAGGGCATAGAAAACGGACAACCAATCAAAACAACTAGGCTTTCTTCCTGGAGAACACAGCTCAGTCATGCCTATTTTGGCAGGTGACGTAGGTGCCTCCCTTGCCGGCAAGACTCCTGATTCTTGGCTTGCAGCTTCGAAATGAGGTGGGTACCCCGCAAGGTGCTGATAAGTGGGATATGGAGCTGGTGTTTCTTGCTATACACAGAGCAACTTGTTGATTCACGACACAATTTGTTTATGCCCAAGTTGGGATCGGTGAACGAGTGCACCACTTTTTACCAGCTTGGGTTCACAGGAATGAAGGGGAGAAAGACGCTGCTTGTATGCAGACTGGTACATGTGAGCATGGATAGGTTCATACTCTGTTGCCTTGGTCCTGGAAAGGCTGCAGGCCAGTTGTGTGAGTGGCTAGTTGCACCGCAGTTCTGGAAGTTGTTTCGCATTGCATTTGCGAAAGGACTTGTTTTCTTCAGCTTGGCCCGCGCATGCTGCAGCAAAGCTGCGGGATTTGAGTTTGGCGGGCACAAAGCTTCCTCGTCCTTGGATCAACTTCGCAGCGGGATGCCGGATCTTTGAGTTGCCTGCCGCGTGGACCAGCGCTTTCGCTGCGTGCCTTGTTGCTGTTTTTGGCTCTTTGACGCTTTTCATCATGCCTGCAAAGCCATGTCTCATGGACCATGTACGAAGAGTCCAGCCAAGGCTGTGACCCTGAAGAAAGAGTGGATGGCCCGCGACCGTTTTTCACTCATTGCATAGCAACCGTACTCCATGATCCATGAGCTTGGAGGCTGTGAGGCACAGCCATTGAGCCTGACCCTTGAGCCACACGCCATGATCCGGAACTCTCCCCCGGGAAAGTGCAGAGCCGCACATCTTCCGCCGCCGTCTTAGGATCGGCACATTGTCCACTCGGAGGCACAGTTCACGGCCCGGCTCTCAGGTCGTCAACCGCCAGCTGCTCGGAGCGACTTTGTCCAAGGTTGGTCTAGGATGTAGGCATGATTTGGACATCTTCTAAGTGTGGATGTTCTCCAGGCTCACCAGAGACACCAGAGCCAATCCACTGCTATTCTCACCAGCGAGCAGTTTTGGCAGCGATCATCTCTTGTGAACGAGTTGGAGCAAAGATGCTGAATGCCGAATTGTCCACAAACAGGACTCACCGTTGCAAAAGGAATGTTCGGCACTATTTCCCTCAACGTTGAGATCAGCTCAGGCAGACTCATTGTTGTTGTTCTCGAAAGCGCCGCTGCAAGATTAGGTTAGCTTGTGTTAGCGTACTATTGTGGTATGCACATGATGAGAACAAAACAATGACACTTTGCGGGTGGCTGCTTCTGGCAGGGTCTGTGAGACAGAGGGACATTGCATGGACCCTCAGCGTCCCAGCCAGGCTTGGATCACTCGCAACGCGCCAGTGGTCGAAAGCAATGTGTGGCCTCTCAGCCGGCCATTGATGGGGAGATTCTTCCGAACATTTCAGGACACTTTCACATGGACTTCTCAAGAAAGGGCCCAGCTTGCATCTCTTGGCGTTGTGGGCTGGCTACTCATGACATGAGCATTTCAGTTCAACTTGTCATAGAAAGGCGCCACATCGGCAAAACCGCAGTTTCTTCCTGCCAAGTGACCGGGAAGGCGGCGGATCGCGAATGTGGGACGCCTACTTTTCCATCAAGATTCCAGGAATCGTCCTCGCTATGCGAACGTCAGGATCATGCGGCAGGACCATGGCATAAGATCTTGTGCAGCTCAGCGCGGCAGGCTTATCGGTTTTTTGCAACTGCACAGAGAAACTGAGGCAAGCAGCGAGCAGACGAAGGTCCAGGAGATCACTGTCTCGCAATACCGCTATTTCATGGCCTCGGGTATCAGATTTTGCTTCGGCGTGCCATGTGTGCAAGGTCATTTCAAATGGAGCCGTCTTTGCTTTTGTTGCAGCTAGATGTTCTTTCTAGACATATCATTCAAAGTTAAGTAATGAGAAAGCTAGCTTCGTACCTCGTTCATGGCCCACACGAGATTTTCAAGTGTTTGCACTTTGCTTACTGGATGGTTAACAAAACAGTCACATGGCATCTCGGTCACTGTTCTACCAGCATCTTTCCTAACAAGGCCAACACTTAGTTGTTTCTCATGACTTTCTGTGCCTCGCATTGCAAGGAAGGCAAACTAGCTTTATCGAATTGACAAGCATAATCCGCACAAGTTGAGCCGATTCAGCCATGTCAAAGTTGAAACACGCGCTTTGCATGTAACGTTTCCCACATGGTCCAAATGGAGCGTTTGAGTGGCCGCGAGGAGCCAAGCGTCAGCAACTCCTCTCAGGAGCTGAGAGGCATGGAGACACGGGCTGCGGGTCAGCTGGGTCTTTTAATCATTACCTGGGAACCTAATTTTACTTGCTGATGTCTTAGAACAATCAGACTCAGAATCCGGGATTGAACTCTTACACAAGCCAATCCTACCCTGCCTGTTTGTACATTTGGCAAATTGTGGATGCACCCCCCAATCTAGCCTTGTTTGTGATGCATTTACGGGTGACGCGGCCATTGCTCCCCTCTGAATGTCCTGTTTGATTCTGCTTGGGAATGCCCAGATTTAACCATGTTTGTAATTTTGAGATTCCTCGGAAGTATTTGATGCGTTGGTCGTGTCCCACGCTGTGACGGGAACCAAACTGGGCTTGTTCAGACTCACACTGTAGTGTTGGGTTTTCCCGGTGTGGTCCCGGCCAGGGGAAACCTTAGCTGGAGGGCACTGCCGGATTGGCCCCACTGCAAAACCTTCTCATGGGCAAAACAGAAAGCTTACGGCAGGCCAAAATACTCGCGGCGCACTCAAGGCCAAGGAGGCAGGGCGCTCATTCGGGCGCTGCTTCCTGTCCTCATGCGAAGCAAGCCTGGTGGCATTCTGCTTTCCACCGCACATGTGCTGATGCTTGCGGATCCGTCTAATGGATTGTTTTTTGTGTTCCAAATCCAGACAGGTGGCATGACCAGCCATTGCGAGAGGATTGTCGGGGGCCAGTCCCAGCCATAACTAGTTTGGGATCTGCTGTTCTGCTTCTGCGCCATTTGGATTCGGGTCATTTGGGCTTTGGATTTGTTTTGGTGCGGCCGCAGCCTTTCTTTTTCGGGCGGCTGACGCCGGCGTCCGCATGGGGCAAATGCTCCACCCGAGGCGGAGGAGCTGCAGAAGCCCTGGGCCCATGAGGCGTGCCTCGGGCCTCGGGGGTTCCAAGGGGTCAGAAGTGCGAGCTTTACGAGTTATGGGGGAAATGACGGGAAATTCTCCCGAGATTGGAGGCGATCCTGAATTAAGGGGGGAGGTCTCAAGGGAGTGGCATGAGGGAATGGCGGTGCAGGTCGAATCGAAGATTTCAAGGGAGCAGCGCAGGCAATTGGCAGCCCTCGCACACGTATATCAGCATTGTGAAGACTGCCTGTACAGACGTCATGAGCCTAAAGCGGATTGGCTTCGTATATCGACCGACTTCCACCACATCGTCAGGGTTCCCGTGTTGTAGTCAGTGGGTACCCCGTGCCGGTTGTATGGTAGCTCGCCGTTGGATGAGCCGCCCTTGACAGCCCGAGGCAAAGACTGGCAACACTCATCGCACTCGAAAGAGACCCAGCCAGATTCACCTATACAAGATGCAGCGTTGAAGCAATAGTGGGAAACAGGGGAGACAGAGTAAGAACAAGCACTGTACAAACTGCTCCCAAGAGCGTTGCAACTCGCTACGCATTCAGCGTTTACGAGGGGTCTACTCCTCACCCCCATGCCCGCTGGAGAGGGGGGTTTTTCTGCGCTGGGGCCAGATCCCGGAACGTTGCCAAGACTTGGGCGCAGTGAATCGAGTGGCGGATTTCGGGGGTGCAGAAACGGGACGGCGTCGCAGGTGCTCCCGGATGCGATGGCGGCAATGCGCCTCGCGGATGCCGAGGCGCTGGAACCATCCGGATGAGTCTAAGACGAAAGGGTCCAGCTCCAAGCCCCAAGCCACAAAATCCGCGGCTGCCTATTGGCTCTGACTTGGTCTCCGGGCGGCTTAAAATGCGGGGTTTTAGGCGAACTTCTGTCTTAATGAGGGCGAATCTTTGGTAGGCTCGCATCATTCAGGAAAGGACGTAATAGTTGTATTTGTTCGTCATGTCGTGACAACCCTTGCCACGTCTGATGAAAAGGTGGCTGAAAAAACCTATTCATTGGCAGTACATCGGTACATGCTCCTTGGCCTCAACAACATAAGGCTTCCCTGCCTGCCTGAATCTTGATCTCAGAAACGTACAATGTTTGTTGGCGCACTCATGGTTTAGTTCGACTTTCGTTGGGTTTTTGCCAAACCTCATGTCTGCCTTTGTGGGTTTACCGGTTACCGTAGTGAAAAATGCCATGCCACTCCGGAGGTTGCCCTGCTCTACTCCCTGCGGCAGGGCACTTTTCTCAAAGGCCCGGGCTGGTTGCGGAGGTGTTGCCACTTAAACGTGAGAGACCCGAGCATGAGCTTGGTGACCACGCCCCAAAGCCTTACGATGGTAAAAGCACCCAGAACTAGCTGATTGTTGTGCCAGCGGTCCCAGTAGTCCAATTGTGAGATTTGTGCGAGAGCACACTTTTGGAAGGGGTCATGGCAGATTCTTCATGCGTACTCATGACGGCTACCGCTCTTGCAACTGTTGTTTTTCATCAAGGTCTTCAGGGACATTTGTTGTACGTTTCTGGATTCGTTTTGTGTTTTAACTTGTTAGCAGTAATTTTGATTGCACGACACTATATATATATATATATACAATATATTGGACGGCTCACTGCGGACGTGAATCAGGAGATTGGAAGTAGCCACATTGAGTATATAGTTGGTGTTCACTGCATCTTCTTGGGTTGAGACGTCTTATGACGGTCTTCAATGCGAGCACATTGGCAGTCTGATAAGTGGCCGACATGATTATTTGTAATTTGACGATTTCGTCTCTACAAACTTCACATTGAAATGCTGCTTGAGTGGGATGGAGGTTAAATAGGTACACACAGTTTGGTTGAGCCATGCTGGTTGAGGTGAATGATGACAAGTGGTGGATGCAAGAACAGTCAAGACGGTCAGCAACACTCAATACAGACTAGTGATCGTGGAGGGACACCACGCACTGTTTGTTCAGATTTCGATCACTGCTCATGCGGTGTCATTGTTGAGTGAGCTTCTTACATTGGGTTGTGACCGAACACCTTGGATGTTTTGTGCCTCCAGAAAAAGAATGCCGGGCGTATAGCGAACTGGAGCATCCCCTTCACCAAGTTGCCTGAGGTGTTGCTTTGATTTCCATTTGCCCAGTCAGCCGCATGCTTCAACCCTGGGAGGGAGCCGCCCTACCTTGGTCCCACTGCCCAGTTTTCTTGTGCCACAGCATGCGCGAGGCTCCAACGGGGAGCTGAAGGGCGACTCACTGGTGGAGCTCCTTCGCTGGGAGCTTGAGACTTCCTCAAGGCCAGCCAGCCAGCCAGCCAGCCAGCCAGCCAGCCAGCCAGCCAGCCAGCCAGCCAGCCAGCCAGCCAGCCAGCCAGCCAGCCAGCCAGCCAGCCAGCCAGCCAGCCAGCCAGCCAGCCAGCCAGCCTACCCAGCGAAGTGACAATCCACCTCTCCAAGGCTGGCTGGACTACTTGGCCCGTACCTTCCCAGGCGCGGAACTGGAGCTTTCGGGGGGTGATCCGCGCTTGAAGCATAGCAACCTAACCAAAATTTGCGTTGCCCATGATGGCTTTCTTGGCTCTTGCCGTGGAATAGGCCAATGTTCAGGCAAGTCCGGTGAGGGCCACCAAGTGGCCGGAAAGATCGGGGGCTGGCGTGGAGTGATCTGATCTTGTCAACCAGGTGGGCGGAAGCAGCTGCGGCAGCTTGCGGAGGCAACCCACCAGGCAGCCTTTGGACAGGTGTCAAATCCTGAAAAGCTGGCTTGCATTTGACGTGGTCTTTGCACAGTCGTGGCTATTCGTCTTCCGAAAAGGGCCTGGTTTGGAACCTCTTGCTCGGGCATCGAGCACGAAGTTACATGGGCACTATAAAGTAGGAGACATTCCGATAGGTGCCCTATGGATGTGTGCAGAAGCTTTGTGTGTGTGTGTGTGGGTTATGTCGTGTCGTTTCGTGTTGTGGCGTGTTGTCAAGGCTGCGACACACCCTTGTGTCGGCCGTGGCGTGCGTGTCCTATCGTGTCGTATGGTGTGGTGTGGTATTTTGTTTGTGTTGTGCTCCTGCGTGCGTGAGTGCCTGTGTGACTGGATGCCTGTGTGCCTGCGTGCCAGCCCGCGTACGTGCGCGACAGTGTGAAGCAGGGGTCCTGTGCTCCAGCAACGGAGCAAGGAAGCCATCAGAGTTGCTGTGCCAGTTCGAGTCGAATGTGGTTGAAGCAGCGCAAAGTTTCCGGAAGAGTGATGGCCTTGTGTGAACCAGTGACAGTTGCGCAGGCAGTGTCAATGTCTTCGGCTGGCAACGCGCAGCTTGATTGAGAATGAGTGGGGGAGGGGGGATGTATGTCACTGTTTGCGAGCGAACCAGCAGCATACATTTGCAGTATTCAAAAGCAGGCAGGGAACTCGGCTGACCGGCTCGTTGCGATCAACATTCGGACCTTGAATATGAAGCATATTTGCTGTTGACAGCACCGTGTGGCGTATCAGATTGTTCAGGAGTTTGAGCTAGGCGAGTTTGCATCGACCTCTTGCCCTGCTAGAGTTGCCACAACGGAGCAGATTGAGATGGGTGTGGCTCAAAATTACAGAGCTGGGTTACGCAGGTTTTAGTCCTCGTTTTCATTTGCCAAAAGGCCGTTTGGGGTACCATTTTCTGAGCCACAACCAGATTTGCCCCCTTTCCGCCCAACTTGTCGGCAGAGGTTGTCCGCGGAGGCCTTTGGGAAGCTTTTGGACAACCGGGGCTTGGACCGGATCCCGGCAGAGGCGCAGAGTGTCGGCGTTTTCATTTGTGTGTGCGTCCCAACCTCTGCTGTCTTGTTGTTTGCACATTTGACGCTTGTGCAGATTGAATGCCAAGTGCATATGTTGCCAATGTTTGATGCCAATGTTGATGTTATGTGCAAAGCGAAGGGTCAGCTGCACTTTTCCCCTCGCTTTGGCTGGTTTAATACTTTCTACTTTTGAACAAGCGGGCATATCAAGGACCTTGCAACGTGCTTTCTGAGTGCCCCCGGCCGCGGGTGCCGCTATTTTCAACTTTGCTGCTTCTAGTAGAGTGAGCCGCCGTGTACTTACTATTTGCCTGCGGCAAGTTGCTTTGCAGCAGCCTTGCAACCTGTGCAGTGAAGGACTGTACTTGGGACTTAGTGGTGGCGTGCCTGCTTCACCGCCGAGCTCGCAAGCATTACAGGGGAGCAATCATTCCCCCCTAAAAAGGGCTTGCAAACGAGCTTGTTGCCATGGCATCCATGCGTACATTGTCAGCTTAGATTAAAGGCGACCTCAGAATTCAGGGGGCAGAGATGAGGACAGGTGCAAACCCAACATGTGTGTTTTAACTGCTTACACTTCTCATAGTGAGACCTGAGCAGGCAACAATGTGAAGGGCTGGAAGAGGACCGGCCTTGTTTGGGAAGCATCTGAAATTGTTTGCCTCTTCTTGTTCCATAATCAAGGTGCCGTCTCTGTTCTCCAGCCCCTGATTCTTCAGCCGTCTCAATCACAAACAACCCGGCCCAAGGCCCAAGGGAGCACTTTTGCAGAAACAAAAACTCTATATTTAAGGGGACATTTGTGTGTGTCCCTTGAAAGCGTGCAGGCTGGTCATAAGCCAGAGGCCTACTGGAGGAAGTGCCGCAGCTACTTGGCTTTCAGATGGTCAGTGCAAGAACTTGCCTATGCTGTTCGCTCGCAGAATTCAGCGTGCCTCAAGTTGTGAGGCCTTTGGGTGAGAGGCAACGGGTGAAACACAAGTCAACATTCTTGCCCGGCGCTCCCTTGACATAGTCGGCCAAATGGTCACAGGCATCACGCAGTAGGAAAAACACATTTGCCAAACGGAGTAAAGTCAATGGCCTTTGTTTGCAACACCAGTGTTTAGTCTTAGGTGCGTTATTAGCATTTGTCGGGCAGATGATATTTGGATATGTCTTCAGATCAGCACATTTTGTTGTATCCTTTCGTTTAGAGCGCGTTTTCCTCTCTTGAGGCAGCCACCCCCCCAACACACTAGATGGAGCTTGTGATTTTTGCCTTGCAGCTGGCAGAGGGCAAGGCTGCATCATCATGAGCGCAGCATCGCCAACACCACCTACGCCACCGCTGCCGCCGCCACCGCCAACACCTGCTCAGCTGTCGCCACCTCCGCTACCGTCATCGTCATCATCATGATCATCATCATCATCATCAGCATCATCATCATCATTTAGCATCAGCATCATTTAGCATCAGCATTAGCATCAGCATCATCATCATCATCATCATCATCATCATCATCATCATCATCATCATCATCATCATCATCATCATCACTTGGCAATTTGGCGAGTGAATTTCAATCCCAGCTGTTGCCAGCAGCAATGGTCTCAGGACTTGCAAAAAGGAGTGTGTGTTCTTCATTGTTTTCTACATGCATTTCTGTGCTGCCACTGGTCTTTCTCACCGGTTAGGCCTTGAACAAATTGTACAGGCACCGGGTTGATCTCAAGCAAGGCAGGGCACAGAGCAGCCAATGGCCACTGTGTGACGTCTCTGCAAACATCGCAATTGAAGCTCAAGGAATGTCTGACACAGACTGTTGCCCATGAGCATGATATGTTTTGAAATTAAAGTACCCCAGAAAACGATTCTGATTTTTTCGGCTCTTGTTGTACATGAAGCCCAAACATTGACAGCGCCGAATTCCAACCCAACAGAAGCACACTTCTTCCAGCTCGAACAGATGACACTCATCATGCTGACCATCTTCGAGTGACTTCGTCAGGCTTTGACTACTTTCACTAAAGTCCACCAGGCCATCTAACGCAAGACTGTCTTGAAGAGATCTCTCATGCATGCAGCATCATTATGTTCAACCTTTCAGTGGCAACCACAAACGGTGTATGTTCAGGGCATTCATGTTGATCTAGAGTAGCATCCTTGAAAGTTGACTGTAAGTAGAGATTCCATTGATGGCTTTGATGGTGGGCGCCGGAAACTCCAGTGTTTGGTTGTCATTGCATTGCATCGCATGTGGGCCATGCCCTGTTTTGCGAGCCGCTCAATCCTTCTGCCCCAGGGAGTTTAACAAAGCTGCTTACAGCAAAGCTGATTCCACCAGGATTCTTCAATTCGCAATTTGGCATGTTGACAGGGAATTCTTTTGGAAGCAACAGAGCAGCACCTCCATGTCAGGCATGCAACGCTTGGCGTCGAGTGAAGCTTCCTGCCCTCAGACGAGGCTACACCTGCAGCCTATGGACGCTTTTCCACGTGCTCAGCGTTTCGGAGGCGCGAGGAGCTGATGCCTGTTGCAGGCATGGCGAAAAGGCAAGCTTGACATGGCCATGGGTCATAACCTATGCCTCCATTTTGGGGCGGATGAACACCCGTGTACCACCTACTTTTATGTTTACCACGGGTACAGGGTTTGTTCCGTTGTGAGTTGCCCTTCTGGCCCTGGAGACGAGGCTTGGACTCAACGTGAGAGTAAGCTTTGCGGCATCAAGCCTCCTTCAGGTTGTGGGAAAACTCCAAAATCGCAATGTTCCGCCCGAGGACTTCAAATAATTCGTTCAGGCAGTTGTTTTCAGTTCTGCACTTCAAAGTCGGAAGACTTATACATGTTGCAAATGCACTTTTTAATCGAAACTGTTTTTCATGAGCTTGCAGTCAAGATCGAACTGTTCTGGAGAGCCCCCGAATAGGATGGGCCTAGGGGGACGAGGAGGTGTGAGAAACATGAGAGAGTCTGTTCGGCATGCAGCCGGTGCTTTTGCTGCGTGAAAATGCGGGACAGCGACTGACACAGATGAATCAATTTTGAGGGTTGACTTGGTTTGTAGTCTCAGTTGTGCTTATCTCAAAATATGTGTTTGTTTTGATGGACATGTCTGTGGCAACAACTATCGCTTGCCTTGAGGAGAATCCCACATGGTGGCAAATCTGCAGCCGCACAGTCGAATTTCCAATTCTGCAAGTTTTTTACATCCCAACTCACAAGATGGTCGCTGGCTGAAGCGCAGGGCCTTTGGTCTTCAATCCTCACATCCGTCAGGCGAAGAGCGCCGCGCCAGAAACTGCGGGCCAGGAGCCGTCGAGGGAGTGAGAGTTTATGCCATGTCGATATGATTTGATATGTATCCGTGGATGCGCAATCCCAGCCAAAAAGGAAAGCACAATGGCTAATTATTTTTTCCCCATGGCCATCTACTGGGGGTTTGTGCAGCTTGTAAACTCTGGTTGATTGATGGGGGGTGTGCCCTTTCAGTTCGAATCCTTTACTTTTGAGGGCGACACCCCGAAATGAGAAGGATGGGTTTGTCGATCCGGAAGCCGGTTTTGGCTTAATTGGTTTCGAGCTTGTACTTTCACGCAGACCTCCCGTTTCCTTTCTTTGGAGGGGGTTCCCTGTAGAATCAACTGCCGAA